GTTGCAACTGAAACTGAGTTCTTTGTTTGTGCTCGACTAGCAAACATCCCCCACACTATTCATTGATAGTTGATTTCACAACTATTCACTATTCATCTGCCATAGCAACTGATTCTGTAATGTGCTGTAAATGGCCTCATATACATACCAATGGACGCAAAAATGCTAATTCAAACTGTCATTTGACAGTTCCATGGGAACTATAGGTAATGTTGGTCAAATGACAGGGATTTGGGAGTTCTAGTGTTAAACCAATTGAGGTCAAATTTCACCCTGTAGGAAACATGCTATACAAATGTTTTAATGCAATGCAAGCGAGTGATCACCAGTTGTCTTTGTAAAGAGTGTGAGCAGGGACTGTCATGCCAATTTCCATGCAATTATTAGGAAAATAAACATATTTTTGATTGAAGCTAGCCTGGTTAAAACCAGACCCAGTCCTTCACGTTGCTTTGTACTAGGGTCTGGACTTGATGCATAGACAAGCGTTTCATGCAGGAGGCGTGGCCTCTGCTAAAGCATGTATGTGTTGTCGCTGTGACGGAGGCTAAGCTAAGAAGCTAACCGGAAATCATGTGTGCTGAAAACAACCCTACTGAGAGGACAAAAGTACGAAGCCGAACGAGATGGCTGTAAATGAGAGCTGCTGCTTTGTCAGACAAATTTAATTTAATTTGGAAGCCTTATCAACACAGACTGGCTTCATTCACTTCCTCCACTGCCGTACTAACTAGCAGACACTGCGCAGAACATCGACGTCATTCAAAACTCCTCCTTCTGTTTGTTGATTGGTCCAGGTAAAATAAACTACAAGAGACACTGCGCAGAAAATTGACGTTTGTTCTCTGATTGGCCCGGCTAAAAATCTGCCAGCAAAATCCATCTCAATGGGAGAAGTCCCAGACGGAGCTGTGAAGTGAAACTAGAATTGAGCAGAGCTGCGTAGGAAGGCAAGTGCCAGGCTAGATTGAAGCAGAAGTTTATAGTCAAATTTGACCCACAACCACTTAAGGAAAACTTACCAGTTCTGCTCCCTCATTCTTGTCCTCCAGGCAATTCTCTAAAGCTTCAAACTCTTGTTCTGTTTTTGCCGGCTTCACTTCATAACTTGTCCCATCAGATGAAGAATCAACATGAATTGCATCCTTGATTTCAACCAGGAGCTGAAGTACTCTCTTCTGGAATTCTAGCCAAGAAAGAAGCAATCATTTCTTAGTATTATAATGTACTGAGTATGCGCTATGCCACAAAATCATTGTTTTTTTTTTTCATTTGTCCAATAAAAACATAAACAGCTAGGGACACTGTATTAGTTGTGAGCAAAACTGATAGAATAGCATTACTTTTTTCAGACATTGGAAAGGCATCCTTTGTCAGTTTTGGTGTACACACTGACATTGCCTCGGCTGCATTTGCGGGATCCCTTTGAGCTCTGACAGACTTCTGTGGAGTCTGCCTGAGACTTCGGTTGATGGTTGTTCTTCGGACGTCACTGATGGAGAAAATGGGCTGGAAGATTTGTATTTTGTACTCTGCAACTCTACAGTGTATTATTTATTCTGGCAATATTTGACTTTTGATCATATTTAAATTACATACCTATGTTCATGAGAGGGAGACCTTGACCTCCAACGCCGCCTCTGAGAAAGGGACAGGCTGTCTTGGCCGGGGCCAATTGATCTATTTAAAAAATAAACATAAAAGAAGAACATTTTCTACAGCAGCTACTGTAAATGGTAGTATAATTTTAAGCAGTGGGAATGATAGAGCTTTATCAGCTCTATTAAGAGCTTGATCATGCAAAAGAGGACCATCACCTAACAATAGGCTTGATCAGCTCTGATCAAGCTCTTAATAGAGCTGATCAAGCCTATTGTTTATGTGATGGCCCTCTTTTGCATGGGACTAACCTGTTTGTCCACGATGTGGACGCAGCGCTTATAAGGCTGAGTTCACCTGAAACTCATTAGACTGAAGAAGTCTCTTGGAGCAGAGACAAAACGTTTCACTAAAGAAGAACCCATCCAGAGGACCTACTTAATTTTTCTTTTTGTCTTCTTCTTTAGATTGTTCTTTTTCATGTAGTGCCCTGAGACAACGTATGTTGTGACTTGGCGCTATATAAATTGAATTAAATTTTGCAGGTTACATTTAAAGCTCATAAAAATGTATGACATTTAAACATCTAATAAAATTTTGTTAAGAGGGAAACTTAAAATCTTAAGGGACCAGAGATGTTTGTAAAACTTAAAATTCAAACAAATTTGTAGGATTGATATACTTCAGTCCAAGGAATAAGTTTGTGGAATAATCTGGAAAGTGATTATAAAAATGCTGGTTCAATGTAATTGTTCAAGAKGGTTAGTTTTTTTTAATGACGTAAAATGTGTATTCATTAGAGCTGTTGTTCGTGAAGGAGTTAAAGTTTTTGCTTTGTTTACTTGAACAGGATTGTTTGAATTTTTTTTTTTTTTGGAAAAAACTGGCAGATAAGACTTTTGCTTCTTTCTGCTGCTTTTCATTTTACTTGTGATTTTTTTAATGGAATGAATGAATTTCAAAAAAATTAAAGTTCATTTTGTAAGGTTGGGGCAGGAAAAACCCAGGGCGCATGCAAAAACCCAAAAAACGTTTATTAAACAAAAAGTCTGTCAAGGCAGCTCTGAGTCTCAGGAAACAATGACACTAGGAACACAGGAGGACAACTACACTGGCTGAGGTTAACAGCACAATGATCAGACATAGGGCCTTTCCCAATCGGTGGCTACACACTCGCCCCACTCCCTACTCACTCAGTTTGCACGTTCCAGCGGAGCATTGGCCAAATTAAGTCCAATCTGAAACCAATTAGGTATGAGGGCGAGTGGCTTATTAAGTCCTCCACAGCRAGTCTACATCTAGTGCAGACTTGAGCAGCACCAAATAGATATCGGCATGAAGCACGGGACATATAAATATAAGTTCCGCATATGTTTTGCGTAAACACCTCATCAACAGATATAATTTCACAAAGACTATAGAAATTATGTTCAGTTCAATTCAAACTTTATTAAAGACACAGAACCATGGTCCACATTTAAAAAAGAAGGAAACATTTAAAAAAATTAAGAATAAATAAATAAATTATTTTAAAAAATGTTAAAAGTGCAATATTTTGACAAGTTATCAAACTTTGTTTGTTACAAATACAGTCATATCTGAAAACTCTCTAAAATGTGGGCCTAATTAAATATTTTCTTTGGTCCTATTAAGAAAAGCGTTTGTTCTCCATCAGTCCCTGCCAGAGGTTGGACTGTTACCGTGGTGACGACAGCTTCCTGTTCCGGTGGTCTGAGGAGAGGCTGTCTCAAAAGCAGAGGGTGTAAACAGCGCCATCAAGGGGACTCAGTTCAGCTGCAAGGGTGCTTCACAGCGAGTGTAGTGTGTAGGGAGTAAGGTGAGTTTGTAGCCCCCGATTGGGAAAGGGCCATTGACTGAGGACAAGACACCAAACAAGCACATTTCCCCCCACTGTCTTGTAAATTTCATTCTGAAAGGGTAGTAGGAAAAACAAAAGTGAGATACCTTTTTCCCTTGTTCAGCACTGCAGCAGCTTTGTTCTTAAAATAGTTGGCCTTGTGAGTTAAATTCAGTCTAGAGTATTGAGAGCAGCGAGACAAGATTAAAGAATTTTCTTTAGACCCACTTACTGGAGAAAAGAGGGACAGGGAGAGAAGGGAAGAGAAAATACAAATCTCTTCAAATCACACAGGGAAATTGTTCTCTGCACACTTTCACCAAATCATATTAGACAGAGTGGCACTGTGGCAACTGGAGAAGATAATCTTTAATATGCTCTTTAATGAGAGGGAAAATGTTTGTCTCATGTGATTGAAGCTCTCGCTGGGCAAATTATTTCCAAATCAGTTCAACAACATGGGCTCTTGGCTGATGAAGAGTGGCCGAGGGACAGCATTCAATTAGCGCATTAGATTGACACAATCAGAACATGTAATGGGTTTTAAAGGCCTTTGCTCCAATTTCAACACTCTGACTGAATGGCTGCCAAAAGGTCACATTAAGCTAACTAAAAGAGGATATTACTTCCACTCCATGGGGAGAAAAGTTTTAGGTGGTTCAACATTTACTATTTAATGTAATGTAGAGACATTACGTACACTCTGAACCGAACTGCCACCACACTGCCTATCAGATTTTCTCAGTGCTAATCCATGTGGCACAGCTGGATGACCTGAGGTGATGATTGTGTTCCTCAGCCGTTTTAAGAGTCAACAGATGACACTATTCACTGGGTTTTATTCTTGAAAAGACAGAAAATAGTTGCCTCATTTTAATGTGCAAATGGATAAATGAAATACTAATTTACTAAAAAGACATAATGAGTTAATTGCTTCACCATAAAACTGCATTTAAAATATGTGCCTCATAATTGAAATGGTGTACTTTAACTTTTTGGCTGCTCCCTTGGTCAGGGGTCGCCAGAGCAAGCGAACGCACATGAGGACTTGGTATTATTTTTAAGCCGGATGCCCTTGTACGGGTCACCTCGAGTGAAGAAACACGATTTTCTGCCTCTAAGCAGGCCTCGGACAGGCCTGACAAGAAGACAGGAACTCTGTTACAAACTGAACTCTATTTAGGCCATGACAGGTCATTCTAACCATGGAAGAGAACCCCTCAGTTCTCTTAATCAGATAATGGACAGAACAATCTCTTCTGTTCCTGATTCATTTGTCGTTTAACTAAGAATGTTTATGCATTTGTTAAATCATGATAATGACAGTCACAGGAAAAGTAGAACGACTTCTTTTCTCTTATCGTGCCTTAAAGATTTATAATGGTATAAAAAAATCACAGAGGATCTGATTACAATGTTTTCATTGTGTTTTTATGTAAATCACTGTTTTTATTTTACTGTGAACACAGTAATATAATTGTGGATTTTTCTTGAGAAAAATCTTTCATTTATCTGGACTAAAAGAATGGTTCAGAGCTGATTATAAACAGAAATGTTACAGTTAATCATTATAAATGTTTTGCAGTTTTGCATAGACTTTTAGAGTCTATCAGAAGGAAGCTAAAGAGGTTATCATGATGTTGTTGAACAACCACAGAATTTAACCTTGACTGGCRCCTRCCTGGCAAGTCTGTATCTTTCTTCTCTGACTCATCTCTAAGCCTGAGGGCGGAACATAAGTTCGTCCGTTCTTATTACTAGCCCAGACGGCTTTGAACACACTCGGACTTCCTAACTCAAACAAGGAAGACGGCTGTGGTTCTCTTCGTAGAATCTCAGCCCTGGGGGCTGTAAATCTAATCCCACGAGCCAATTAGGGAGGATTGTACAGCCAGGGAGCCGACAAGCCTATCGGTGTGCCCACCCGAGGCTTCAAGCCTCTAAGCATGAGTTTTTACCTTCCGATGGGAAGATGATTTTATTTTGATGGAGAAATTGGATACGGCTTGAATTTTTCTGGCTTGGACTGGAACAGACGCAAAGTTACCTGAAAATAACACCTGTTCACCAATGACCAGTAAGCGACCTGACAACAGTTCACTGACTGATCGGAGGCGAGCCAGTCTTCTACTTGGAGGGTGCCTTAAGAAGCCATCATCAGGTAAAAGGCTGATGTGTTTGGAGTGACGTGTACTGTGGACCTGAGTCGAGAAAAGACGTGCAGATCTGGTTGACTCACACTTTGGTAAAAGTAAAGTAGTAGAAATACTAACATTACTTTCCTCCTTTCTTATTTCTTTGATTTGCCAAAACTTAAAGTGTATCTTACCCCCCTGAGAAAAGATAACTCCGCCCCAAGGCAAAATTTGAAAAATGCATCAAAGTGGGTAGGGGAGGGGGTGTGGGTAGAGGAAGGGAGGTTAGAGAGTGGAGGTGTGGCCAAGACGAGAGAACGTGACAGACAGCTAGCATTAGCATAATTGATGTTACATGAAAAGTGACCACAGTATCGCAGACAGTTACATCTCTGAATGTCTGAGGTGGAGGATTTTCACCCCACACCAGYCTCGCACAGAGGAGGAGGAGCGCTCTGACAGCCTGACAGAAAAAAATAAAAGTATACAGCTTTCTCTTTCCCCTCCTCCCCTCCCACTGTGCAGGACTGCTGGTCTCTCTCTCTCTCTCTCTCTCTCTCTCTCTCTCTCTCT